AATACATAACGGGTAATGGGATGAACGATGAACGGGTAATATCGAAAGTTACCATGTGTGGTAATGTGTTTGTTTTTTTTTAATAAGTAGATGGACTTTTGTTTTGTTTTGTTTTTTTTTTCTCAGAGTCCCTAAAAGCCAGCAGAAACTGGACTAACCCACTGTTTATTGGTAGAGCCAGTCTAATCTGCCTAGTGTTGTAGAAACTTTGTCCCTCTCCTTACTGAATGATTTGAGAATTCGCTGTCAAGATCAGCAACCCAACACAGTGAAGCAACAGCCATGTACTGTATAATAAAATCCCAGTAGACTTGCTCATTGACTGCATTGGTAGTGCTACCCTAGACACGATAGGCAAAAAAAATCTCTGGAGCTTAATTTATTCACTTCTATTTGCCCTCAGTAGCTTGGCAGCTGTGTGGTTTTGACTAATAGTTAGATAATATTTTGTTGCTGAGCCTTGGAAATCTTTTTGTTTTGCAGCATCATTGAGAAGGGGGAGGAAAATTGCGGGCACTTAATTGAAGCTCACAAAGAATGTATGAGAGCTCTGGGCTTCAAGATATGAGTGGGATGAGCAAGATGATGTGTGTGGTGAGTATAGCCTACAGAAATGCACTCGTTGCTTGTTTTCTGCCTCTAAAGTATTCTGTTGTCTCAGCTGGTGCCATTGGGAAGTACAGGGTACTGTCCGTGATGACAAAGGGCAAATCTTTCCTAAAAGAAGGAAAGCCAGGTAAACCTCATTGACCCTGGAGTAACTGCTGCTCTCCTTCTGAGGATGGCAGAGGCTTGTGGGAGCTCAGAGCCCTTGTGAGTGGCTCTTGAATAGTGAAGTTTGACTCTGCCTCTGTTCTCTTAAAAAAAAAAAAAAAAAAAAAAAAAAAAAAAAAAAAAGGCAATAGTTCCATTTAGATTTCTAATGATAGGACTGTGCTTAGTTCATGCCCCTCCTTCACCCAAATGCAAAAGTCACATAGAGAGGAAAACCTGTTTTTGTCTCATATTCTTTGGAAATGGACATACCTCACGCTGGAGTTCAGAAAGTAACTCTGGAACCAGTTTATAAGCAGAGTAGGGCTGTTTGTTTACAATTCTCTTAATGTTTGGAGACAGTTAAACTGTTCCTTGATATGCTGTGGGAATCCATGTGTAATGAAGCTGTTTTTCCTCCCTTTTCTAGATGATGACTGTTGTGTGATTGGTGTACTGGAAGGCTGAAAAATAAATTATTTCTGGAAGTCGCTTCAAAAAACGAATATGAAAAAAGAACCTATTTATAAAGAGTCTTTAATGGTAAACTGTGTATCACATCTGCAGCTTTTCCACTGTTACCTCTTTATTGCTGGTATAGAAAATATATATTTTTCCCTCTTAATAAAAGTCTAAAAATGACCAGTGATCCTGACTTCTGTTTTTCGTTTGTTTTCTTTAAAAAGTTAAGGGAAAAAAAATGGCAATAGTTATTCAAAACACTGAGCTATAGGAATGGAGAGCGTGAGGAAAGCTTTAATTGAAATGCGAACAGGGATCAGTCAAATCAGACCAGTGGTTGAACAGGTGGGTCTTCAGTGTGGGTTTTCCACCTGATGCAAATTGCGAAATCAAGCTAGTGATATTGTTGTGTTACTGCTTTCAGCAAAGTCATGTTGAGGCTTGTTGGGGAGCTGCAATGCTAGTGTGCAGCAGGTACTGAAAAGATACTGGACAGCTGTATACTCAAAAGCAACAATTGCCTTGCAGTCAAATCTTGCTGAGAGGCTTGCATTGTTATTGCTACAAGATTCTTACGGAGTGGATTCAAAGTCTGAATGGAGGGGGGACTGATGGCATACCCTGTTCTGCACATGATGTTTAGTGTAGCTGCAGGGACATGAAATAAAGCAGGATGGTTGAACTGCATAGTAGTAGTTCAACTAAATATAGTGCGAGTTATCTTTGCACATTTGCAATTGACCTCATTTGATTGAGCTTGTCTGAAACAGTCTTGAGACCTTTCCCAGCTGTTTCCCGTATGTTTTGCAGAGTGTTGTCGGTAATGCGCTACATAGTAAATTTAAAACAATTGTCTAACTATTCCCTCTCTGACTTCAGGCCATCCAGGCCTTAGTGTCCACAACTCAGGTGATTAGACTGCTTTTCAGGCTACAGGGTCACTAGTGAGCCTGTATACATCCTGTGGAAAATAACCAGTTGTGTAGCTGCTGCGGGATCTGAGGCTGATAATCTCTTGGTGCGGAGCTGCTCTCAAGGATAATGCTAAGTACACGGATTTCTTTGCCAAACATATCGTGCACCTGGTTTGCGTCATCACCTGTTACTGAAGTGCTACTGAATGAGTTCATTATAGGTGAGAAGTCAGTAGAAACCATTTACATGCTGCTGATTTCAGAGCTGAAGAGCTTGACGTGTATTTTTCTTTCTCACATCATCATTTTGTTGTAATGCCTATGTCTTGTTCCAGTGAAGAGTTTTGATGCTGCTCAAGTATCTTATTATTTGCTCTCTTAATTCCAAATTGTTTTGATCTTGATATCTCCCTTCAAATGTTTTTTTAGCTTTTCCCCTTGAGTCAGTATTGGCTTGTGCACTCTCAGCTTGGATGAACCTCAGCATCTCTAGATGAGAAGGCATGTATTCCAATTCTAGACAATGCATTAGAATAAAATCTCTTTTCAGAAAACTAAGAAAGTTCTTTAAATTCTTGTTGGATAGAAAACTGTGAACGTGCTGTGAAGATGGCCACTGTATTCTTAGGGCAGAAAGCAAGGTTTGGGCCTTGGTGTTGCAGTCATTTTGCAGTGGTTGCCAGACACCTCCACAAGCACAGATCCAAACAAATGCTTGAAGCAACCTCAGCAGCTCAGACACTCTTGCACATTGCCATTCAGGACTCTTCATTCTGTATCTTCAGTGATACAGGCCTTGATTTGTACACATTACAGTACTGGTACAAAGTCAGGGTTTGACCCCAACTGACTCTCCCAATACTGTAAAGAAATCCAGCTCTGTTTCCTGCAATCCCAATGGCTGCACTTAATGACATCAGTGTTTTTTTTCTAAGCGAGATGTGTCCTGGAAGATATCAGGGCAGCACTTTCTTTGTCCTAAGGAGTAGTTAACTTTGTATAACCTGAGTCTCTTAGTTCAAGAAATTACCTGAGGTAAACTGTGTAACTTTTTCTCTTTTTTGGTCTCTTTCTTTGGTAGTACTGCAGAAGTTTTTTGATAGTATGGAAAGGCAGGAGAAATTATGACCTGAGGTTACATGCAGGAATGGGATCCACCAGAAAGAAAAGGAAGAGCTGGGAGGTCCTTAACAAACTGTGTTGAAGCTGGACCCTGAAGTGAACCCATTATTCAGGTGGGGCAAACCTAAAGGTAATGTTACTGCAACTTTGCTTTTCAGAATGTTTCTTCAAACATGGTTTTGAAGTTTCTTCAAACATAGCATTGTTGTCCACAGCAGTTCATTTTTATCTTGCATATCTTATGCAACGTATCCTAAGTCTTTCCAGTCTTGATATCCCAGTTCCCCTTTATATCAAATGCCAGCCTCCCCTGAAAAAAGTGTTCCTTGTAATATTGGTTTTGCAGAGGCCTTAAGGTAGTTGGTCTCATCAATAGCTTGTCTATCATGAACATGACAATGATGGGGAAAACAGAACTTCGTTCTCAGTATTGTTGTTGTAGTGCTTTGGCTGTAAGATTATCCTTCCCTCCCTGCAGAGAAGCCAAAGATACCTCTTGCAGCTGAGCTTCGTTATACTTCAGTTGGTAGAATTTCTCTCTTAAGTAAGGGACCACAGGAGACAAGTTTCCCTGTATCACTTCACCCTTAACAGGAGCATGTTTCTGGGTGGACTGTACTCATCCTCTGGACAAAGCTTTGCTTGTGTTATTTCCTTAACATGTTGCAACTGGTCAAGATACCTTTGCTGCTCTTAGGAATAGTACAGCACTGTGTTGCACTTAAAGTCACTGCAGTTGTGCTGGCTGAGACCATGATATGTTCTTTAAGGCTTCATGAAGCATTCCTTGTGCCTCACCCAGTTGATAGTGTTATCCTAGAGGGCTATTAGTGGCAGAGCTGATTTTGTTTCTTTAAATGAATGATGCCAATGGGAATGGCATGTTAGGCAGGGCAGCTGCAAGCTCGTCCTGAAACACAACCACCCTTGGAAACCCTATCCCTACCCCACTGACCCATGCAGGCTGACTTCATACTGTTGACTGACCATGCCGGTTGCGTCAATGCCTGAAATGTTATTGCTTCCTGGCAGCGGGGTGGATCCTGTCGGTGTGACTGATAACGTGTTACTCGAAGCAGGGGAAAAGCTGCATTTACACATCTTAGCCATGGCTGACAACACAGGCCTGTTAGTTGTGAGGTGAAAGAATCCTCACTCAGGATGTCCCTGCAAAGCATGCTTCCAAATGCTATGCTCTGGAACTTTTAGGCAATATAATCTCTTCACAACAGATAAAGCGGAGTCCCAGCAGCTCACTATCTTTAGCTCTGTCCCTTGCACTCACAAATGTGCTCTGGTGCTATACCTCAAGCCTCTAGGTCTGAAATGCTCTGCCCATGGAAAGGCTGTGTTGCAGAGCCCATTGCTGGAAAATAACATTCTATGGAACTGCCTCTCTTCTGCTGAAATTCTGGCACCGCTGCCTGTTGCAGCAGGAGAAGGAGACAACCTTTCTCCTTTTTTGTTCTGTGTGAGGGTCACTCTCTTGTAAGAGCACAGAGCAGTGCTGAGCCCTGCAGATGCCTGGAGTTCTCAGTGATAAAGCCCGTTGCTCTGCCTCTCCTTTCCCCTCATTGCACTGGACTTATCTGGGTGCCTGAGTTATGTTAAGTGGCGGGTGCGTGCCTGTTCTCCATTCCCCTTGCTGCTTTTGCTCCTTGGATTTCAATTCCAAACATGGTTATCCCTCTGGGGTCCCTCTCCTCGCCGCTGCCAAGTGATAGACGTACCAAATCCAACCCTGCCCTCCCTGCCGCTCTCTCGCGGGCTCATTCTCACTGTCAGAGGGCTGGCGACAGGAGCGTTGCAACCAGATCTCTAACTGGGCTCAGAGTTTTCCAGCTAATGGCCTCTGCTTTCTCTTTGCCTGAGTTTTTTCAGCTTCTGTTTTGCCAGATCTGCTTTTCTTTGGTGCGGCTAGGGAGGGGGCCAGCCTGATTTGTGAGCCACAAAGAGAAAAAGTGAGCTCTTTGGGGATTTTTCAGTAGTGAAAACATCTGGCAGAGCTTTAACATGTTGCTGTGAAGTGCACTGCTGAGGGACCGGCCGGCACTGAGGAGTAGGAGGAGGAACAGCCACCCAGCAGCTCTGCTTTCAGACCTCTGCACTCTTTGCATATGACAATTGCTTTTTAACTCCAGCCAGCCGGGGCAGGATGAGCACCAGCAGCCCCTCCTGGGACCAAGCTGTCCTCCAGCCTCCTGCCTGCGATGCCTGGAAGGAGCACATGGAGGGAGCGGCCTACCATCTGGCCAGCTGTATCGTCCTCCTAGGCTACATGGGTGGCAGCGGCATCTTTGGGTCCCTCTACATTTTTGGCCTCCTGGCCCCGGGCTACTTCTGCTATGCTCTGTGGGGCTGGCTGAGCGCCTGTGGCCTTGACATCTTAGTCTGGAATGTGCTGCTCGTCCTCACCTGCGTGCTGCAGCTGGCTCACCTGGCTTACCGACTCCGCAGAGACACCGTCCCCGAAGAGTTTGAGCTTCTCTACAAGGCCATGTACCTGCCCTTGCAGGTGCCCCTGGAAGTCTACAGAGAAATTGTGAAGTGCTGTGAAGAGCAAGTGCAATCATTAGTCCGAGACCAGAATTACGCAGTGGAGGGCAAGACTCCCATCGACCGGCTCTCCTTGCTGCTGTCTGGCAGGTAAAACTCTCCCGGTTCCCAGCAGGCCCACAGCAAAGCACTGAGGCTGCTGTTGGTAGTTTTCTCCCTCCGTACTAACTGGGGTGGTGATTATTTCCTTCCTCTGAAAGGGCTTTGTGATATACGTCTGCCTGCTGCTTTTGCTGATATTTTTTTTTTCTTTTCAATTTGCCTTTGGGCTTTTTCTATATATAAAAATATTTCAGGTAATGATACACAGCCAGCAAAGCTGTGCTTATGATAACATGGGGGGGATCCTTGCCTCTTTCTTTGTCTTTTTAAAGTGATTTTATTTCTAGTGGGAGTAGACCTGGAGCCATGAGAGCTGGAGGTGTGTCTGAACCTGTGTTCTCTGTGGGTTCCAGAAATGGCTCTGTGCTGTGGGTGACTGAGTATGCCAAGCAAGAGTCTTTGGTTCACCTGCTGCCCTGCACAGCAGCATTAAGGGAGAGCTCCATCCCCATTTCCTGAACCTTCGAGGCTCTGTTTTTCCACTTCGAGGGTCATTTTGTCAAATCCATCTCACCTCAGCAGGCCTCTTTCCTTTTTCGTGTTGTCATGCTGTTTCTTTGGACCATCAAGGAGGACCTGTAGATGGTTGTAGCTGTTTGCCTTCAAGCTATGTTAATTTGCTATTTACTTACTGTGGGGGTTGACTGTAGGGCGAACAGTGATGATGAGGTACTGGCATTTGTTTACCCTAGAGCCTGTTGCACACTCCCATGATCATATCTCTTTTCCAATTTTCACAATCTAAATACAGAAAATAGTAGTGATATTAACTGCTGCCAGGCACTCAGCATTAATGTCAAGAGAGAGTAAAAAGTTAAGAGACCTGTAAGTGTCTCACAAGGATTTTCCTTTGGGAAGATGAATTCAGCATCACCTGGAACTTGTGGTCTACTGCAGTGGAGGTGAGACGATGCATGAAGAAGGGTTGTCCTTGCTTTTTCTTGTATGTTTGGACATTTCTGGAGGATGTGTTAAGAGCGGGGACTACCAACCTAGGCAACGTACTGGGAGGAAATTGGATATGTGTATTTCTACTGGATGCCCTTCTTACCAAATTCCAGGCTGCGCATCCTCCTTTGAAGCGTACCAGACCTGCAAATAACATTTCTGGGGAGAGCTGCCTTGCCTTGCACTGGGTCACCTGCTGCTGCTCTGTGAGCACGAAATGCTGCAATGTGCAGTATAGCCAGCACTGGTGGGATTGTTCTGCTCTCTTTTGCTGTGGGAAGTATGCATCTTGCTATGGGATGCTCTGTGGAGATGGGATTGGATTTGCATTTCTTGCTACCCACCCTGTTACCTTATGAGGCTGTGGCTGACCCTGCAGAGCACTGCTGCTCTGCTGATGCCCTCTCTGGAATGGAATAATAACAAGATAAGGTGGGCTAGAATCACAGGAAGTGCCTGGAACAGAAAGTTTTGCAGTCCTTGACCTTCCCAGGCAGTGCATGCTTGGAAGGCAAGAGGCTGCAAGATTGAATGTGCAGCAAACTATGAGATTGCAGCATGATGCCAGTGTGATTTTTGGAGAGGACTGTGCAGCATGGAGGTGAGGATTGCCTGCCCTCATGCAACTCAAAGGAAAGTGGGAAGATGCAGGTAGAAAGAGGTATGGTCAGGCTGAGAAGTACTTGAACAGCAGCAGTCCTGTTGACTGAGAAGTCCTGGTTTAGGACTGGCATTGCACCTGTGAGGGCTGGGTATGCAGTAAAAATTAAACATGTGGAAAGCAGGGCAGTGGCAGTGAATCTCATTTCCCACTGAGAAAAAGAGAGACAACCCCAAAGGCCAGAGCGTTTGCAGCAGTCATTGGTAGGCTGTGGGACACACATGAGGCAGGGAAAAGGCCTCTCCTTGCAGGTGGGACTGGCTATGTGGTCAATTTAACGGGATATCTGCTTTGCAATCTAAGCCTGTGCATCTTGCCTGTACCTGCAGGGTCCGTGTGAGCCAGGATGGGCAGTTCCTCCACTACATCTTTCCATACCAGTTCCTGGACTCTCCAGAATGGGAGTCACTACGGCCTTCCGAGGAAGGAACGTTCCAGGTAACCCTGAGTGTCACCCAGGCTCACTCCTGCTTTCCCACAGCCAGCCAGCAGCAATGCCAGGCACGGTTCAGCAGGCGGGGAGGGCTTGGGTTGCTGGATCGCTGCTATCAGAATGCTCCCTTAAACCAACACTGAAATGTTTGCCCAGTGGGCTGCATTATTCTGTGGCAGGATGGCATCTAATTGGGGTGGAGAAGCAGAAAGGATGATTCACGCCTGAATATGGTCCTTTCTGAGCAGAGGAATCTCTTGCTGAGAGACCAGAGTGATTGTTATTTGCAGCAATTAAGAGAGTTTTGCTCTTGCTGTCAACACCACAGTATTTGTTGTTTGACTTTCCTTCTGGAGGAGATTATGCAAGCCCGTATCTCTCCGCCTTTAACCTATGGGGTTGGCTGATAGCTATCAGGATGTCAATCCAGTGTGTGTCAGTTGGGGCATATGAGGAGGGGCTTTACTAATCTATGGGGAGGGTGGGACAGTCATGAGGGAATTATGCTCTTATGGGGACAGCCGTGTTCAGACTTGGTTAAGCCAAGGCAGCTCCCCATACCTGCTTTCCTCAGGTCTGAATTTGTCCAGGTTACCGTGAGGGGGAGGTCATGGTGACTGGTTCTGAGACCTCTGCCATCACTGATCATCACAATCGTACCAGAGAAGGAGCAGCAGGGCATGGCTGACCCTGTAAGGGTGGCATAGGATACAGCTTGTTAACAGAAATTGAGATGTCAGGCCAAGGTACTGAGGTGGATGGAGAGTAACGACAGCATGGCTGTGCCAGAGGTGGAGGTATTTTGTGTTCTGCACCAGGCTTCAATCCACTCCTGAGTTCTGTTTGAGTAAGAGTTGATAAGAGAGAACAATACTGTTGTTCCCTGAGGGGAAAAGGTTCATCTAAGGCAGGAAACATCTGCACAGGCATCTGCAGTGCTTTCTGAGCTAATTTCTGTGAAACCAAATGTTCCTAGAGCTCCTGGTCAGGGAGATCAGTTGCACCAGGGCACTGGGATAGGTGGTGTTGGTCTGGGTGGGGAAAGGCTGCAGCAGCATGCTAGAAATGCCTAAATCCTTGTCTGCTCACTAAGGAGAATGAAGAATTATCAGGCTGCATGAGACCGAAATTCATCAGGTCTGGTTTGATGGTAATGTTCCTGGTAGAACATTGTTCTTCATGCCTGTGGGAACATGCTATCTTGGACAAGTGTTAGACCCACCAGTTCCTCTTATCTGCGTCACTGATAAGACTATCTCATCTCAACCTTTTCCAGCACTACAGTCACTTGGGTAGAAAAATGCATATTTGACTCTGGACCTTTGCTGGAAGAGGACACGGAAGGCTTTTCTTGCCCACGTTTTCCCCTGTAGCTGTCTGGGTTGAGCAGTTCTAGGACCTCTGAGAAGTGGCAAGAGCCTGACTTACTCCACTTTTTCTCATGCCTTATGCTTTGACATCTTCTTCCACACTGATGCTGAGCTGCTGGCTTCCAGTGCCTGGAGGAGTTGGGTTTTGTGGCTGGCTCATTTTCCCAGAAGCTCTGATGATGCCAGAGGTTCATGAACAAATCCTGTCATGTTGCCCTGGTTAGGAGAAAATCTAACCAGGTTTTGTTGTTGCAGTTCACCTAATCCCTTGTGAAAAGGAGAGGCAGTGCCAGAAATTGGTTAGGAAAATGAGATTCTTCTCACTGCAGTTTCTGTGTGACCCATACTCTCGCTAACCTTGTCCTGGGGAAGTTCTCAGCTATTAGGTCCTGTATTTCTTTCATATGGCAGCTGCTTGCATGGCAGCAGTGTTAGGTATCAATCCCAAGGACACACGCTTGCAGCCAAGCCATGTTCAGCTTCCCAATGGCCCTCTGCCACGGTGATTGGCCAAGGAGACCCCTGTGTATGGAGTGAAAGGGAGCCCCCGGGATATTTTGGTTCCAACGCTTGTTTGCATGCCTGGGTCTCCATTACATTCAGATGTTCTTCTCTGGCCCAAGGGTATTTCACCCTGCGTATGTCTCTCTTACGTTTTATTATTATATTTATTGCAATATATGGTCGTGTGTTGTATATTTTAAAATTATTGTTAGCCTGGTCTTATAGCTAGTGTAAAAAATGGCTATAATGACTCCCTTGTTGCCCCACAGGTCACACTGACAGCTGAAACTGACTGCAGCTACATCACCTGGCCAAGGCGGCGGCTGTACCTCCTCCTGAGGAAGGACCGCTACATTGCCCGCCTCTTCTCCTCCCACTTGGGCTATGACATCTCAGAGAAGCTCTACTCCCTCAATGAGAAGCTCTTCGCCAAGTTTGGTCTCCGCTTTGACATCCGCTTGCCCAGCCTCTACCATGTCCTGGGCCCGGCCTCCTCAGAGGGGGAGCTGGAGGAGGCCGAGGAGCTGCCGCGCTCACCACAGCCTGAACATGGGCTGGACGGGGCCTTGGAACCCCCTCCACAGCCTCCACCACCACCACCACCTGCTTCACGCCCTCGGTCCTCCCGGGCTGAGAGCGACCTGCTGGGTGAGGACTCCACCAGTCTTGTCTTGGAAGATTTTGCTGAGTTACCAGGGTCATTTATGGACTATGTGAGCGAAGGGGAGTATATGAAGTGAGGGTGCTCCCTGCACGGGCATGCGTCACCCCACGTGGCACCCCTGCGTAAGTACCCACCAGTGGCAGCAAGTAATTCTCCAGCCTCTTGCCCTTGCTTGCCACAGAGGTAAGGAAAAGTGCAGGTGGCTCCCCTGAGGTCCCCAGGGGCAGAGGTACAGCAGCCTAAAAGCAGAGCAGAAGATAGTGGCTGCTTGGCCTTACCAGTTCCCTCCTAGTGGCTTCCCACTACCAGCGCAGGATGCCTTGCTCTCCTGTTATGGATGTTAGCATACAAGTAGGTATAAACCCACACTTCACAGCCCTCTTTTTTTCCCCAAGGAAATCACCACAAATGTACCTTATGATTGTCAGGTGCACCTACTTGGTCATCATGGTGCTGGGAAGGACTGTGATACTGCTGTGAGGTCTGCTGCACTTGGCAGCATTTTTTTGCCAGCTTATACAGAGAACTCAAGGAGATGTCCTTGACCTGCATGATTTTAAGCAGGAGGAGGTAAAAGCTTAATTACAGGCAACAGGCACACAGTGGGGTGTCAGGACTGGTCACCAGCTCATAGGAAGCTCTTTCCTGCCTTGTCCTCTCCATCCCCCTGCGGAGGCAGAGGCACTATAATGACATCCAGGTTAGTGGGATGTATGGGTATCTGCAAGGACAGCATGAGATTAGCCTGCTTATGTGAGGTAGAGCTGTGACTGGAGATACTCTGGTATGGAACTGAGGAGAGTAAATACAGGTAAGGGAGCTGACAACCTCAGTGAGGACAGCACAAGTAAAACCACCTCTAGGTCTTAACATGGATGGATAGTGGTGAGCACTGTGCATTGTTCAAAGTCTCCAATGACCCTGAACTGCAAAAGGCCAAATGTAAAATGTTGTTTTTACATGCCCCAAGCTCTACTTTCTGGTAAGTGGGAATAAGATGCTCCTCTCCAAAATGCCAGCTCCTTGCTCTCGGGGAAGGAAATTGCTGGGCTTGGGGACATTGGGGCAGTACAGGCGAACAGAAATACCTGGTAGAGTGGCTCATACTTGAAATTCACATACAAGTGACTGAGAGATAAATTCTATGCTGAGCTACATTTAGCCAGCTGCTGCACACCAGCTGCAGTCTCCAAATGTGCATTCCTGCTGTCTTGAAATGCTGCTTTCTGGCAGCCACTTGCCAGACTCTAAGCATAGAGCTGGGATTTTTATCCTAGAAGTGACCACTGCATAAGTCCAAGCTGAGTCTGCAAGAAAGTTAAAAAGAGTTTTGAAAGCAGTGGAGCTGGAAGATCTTCCTGTCCAATACCATTCTGCTTTGAATTAAGACATGTGCCTGTTCCTTCATTTCCACGTCTACTGACTTGAAATCTGGGATATGATGGAACTAGCCAGGAGAGGAACAAGTGTGTTTGGTTGTCCTTGAATTGGATTTAAATAAAACAAATCAGCAAGAGTTTTGCTTAGTTTAAAAAAAAAAATGGTTCGCAGAAAAAAAAAAATAATAAAATCCTTATTTATTTTCTAGCTTAGGAGTTCTCCTAATTTGACACTTAGGCTGTAAGCTGCTGGAGGTACAAACTTGAAGCTTTTTCAGTCCTTACTTGGAGAAGCAGGAACATGAATCAGTTATGAGACAGTCATTCTCTTAACTGTCAGGCATTTCTGTTGCATAGATGCAATCAAAAATAAATGCAGTTAGTGCTGTAAATGGGCACTTTGTCTGTGCTTGTATGTTGTTTTCTCAGCGCTAGGATATCCATTCTCAGGTCACTGGCAGAATTCTCCTCGTAGATGAAGCTCAGTAAAATCAGAATTTCAAATGCAATTAAAAAAAATAAGAAAGGAAGTGATGGAGGCAAGGAATACCACAGCTTTTCTTCAATCAAACCTTTCAGCCAACTGTATTTGGCATAAGATGATACTGTGAACATGCATGCAAAAGGTGCTCGTTTACATCTGCATTAGGGAAAGTTCATAGGATGCAACACAAAGGTCCATATTCTGTCACAGAGTCCTCTTAAAACATTTGGAAGCTCTTGTCTTTCTAGATCTTGGGACAGAGGCAATGTCAGCATGGGTTGATGTTTGGAGTAGAGACCTGTGATAGAAGCCCGAATGTTCCAGAGGCCTGTATTTGGAGTGGAGGCAGGGAATGGTCTTCCTTTTGTCAATTGTCACACCAGGACATTGTTCACCATGACCTGAGCACTTAACAGCAAAAGGTAGTGCTAGAGAGGAGCTGCTGTTCTCCCTCCTGGCTGGGAACAAGCACTTTTGTAACTTCTGTCTTAGAAATGGTGAAAACAGTAAACAGGGATAGTCCCCACAGCATCCTTGCTTGAGTATGCAATAGCTGTGGTCTCAGAGCTTTCCTGGGGCTTTCCCATGTCCTGAGCTCTCATCTGTCTCCTGAGCAGCTTCCAGCCTGGGTAATTATCTTCTGGTTCTCTAAATTCTCTAAATTCCTCCTGCTGGAGTGCTTCTGCAAATCACCTTTCTTTTCATTGATATTGCCACCTTGCTATGCCACAATGCAGGACACAATTTCTGAATGACTACAGTGATTTTTGAATGTCCATAGATCTCATTTGGAAAAGACCTGCAAGGTCATGAAGTCCAACAGTCAGTGTGATCTACTGAATCTCATCACTAAACCACATCTCTTAGTTCCACATCTGCGTATCTCTTAGATACCTTCAGGAGTGGAACTCCACTGCTCTGGACAGCCTCTTCCAATCCCTGGTCACCATCTCTGTGAAGAATTTCTTCCTGATGTCCAACCTAAACCTCCTCCTTGCACCTTGAGGCTGTTTCTGTGAGATGTGTTGTCCTATTGGACTTATCATCTAGTCCTTGAGAGAATTTCTAGTCTGCTTGCAAGCAAACAGACTGTGTTATCCTGCTGAAGAACACATGCTTTTTCAGGAGAACAGCTGTTTCAGTAATTCGCCTGTTTAGAAGAGACAGGTTCAAGGGTTCTGTTCAAAATTTGCTTTAGCAGCATACTGCTGTATAGCCCAGTGTTCCCCAGCAAACAAAGCTTTAATCCCTGAATGAAAGTTGATACAACCAGAAGCCACCTGCCTTTTCCCCCTTCCATATTGCATTCGCTCTGGCTTGTTCTATAAATGCTTGCAAGATGCGTAGCTGCTGCTACTTAGTTTTGCATCTGTGAGCTGGCTTTCTCTTGGGTGGCCAAAATGGATGGGTGCTCGATGGGCTGTAGCCTGGTGTCTACATTAGTAGGAATTTTTACACCTGCTTTGCGAGCAGAGCTAAAGGAGCTGTGGGCTTTGTTCCAGTGGTATCACAGAAAGTGCTTGGAAAAGCTTTGGTTTTGCTGCCTCAGTGTGCTTGGATAACATTTTCTGATTTATTGTGTGTGGAAGAATTATATGGTTTTGCATGCTAATTTAACAAGAGAGGGGGAGGAGGAAAAGTAATGGCAAGCTCTGTGAGGTTTGTGTCTTGGAAAGGTTTGCAAAACAAGTAAGAATTATTCTTCTGACACTAACGATGCTTTCTTTCTTTGTCTCTTTCTCTCCCCCTTAATTTTCCTTCCTGCTCCACTGCTTTCTTTCCACAGCCTCTGAGAACCTCCGGAGCCACCTTCCTGCTCCCTGCAAAGGACGAGCTCCCCTGGCTCCCACGCAGACCCCCGAGCTCTAGGGAACAGCAGGCTGTTTGGATCCCAAGCCCCACCTGGGGGGCGTGTGTACTCACACACCTTTCTGACCAGATGGACACTCTGTAGAACGCACCAAAATGTCTGCCTGCATGGACACGAACACTCAGGAGCACATTGAAGCACACGCGTGGGACTGCAGTGACCCTCCAGCACCTCCCACTCCACAATGTTTGCTTCAACCTGCTGGCCCCAGGGTGATTCCCTGGTTTGGTTTCTAGTCCTGCCTGTCCAGGGCATGTCGGCAGGCCTGGTACCATGGCACTGCAGTACGGCTGCAAGCAGCATGAGCTGCTCACGGGATCTGTGTTCCCTTTGATTTAACGATTCCAATTAAAGACAGAGGAGAAGTTGGTGGTGTTTGAGGATTTGCAGAGGGTGATAATGCTGCTTGAAGAATGTGAGGTGGTTTGAAAGCCATGGGGAAAAGTACAGTGAGAAATGGGGGTGCCTGGTGGCTTTGGTAATAGGCATGTATCAGAAGGCAGAATATGGAGAGTGGATCTATTACATCACAGTAGGCATCTGCTGTAGTAAGGGTCCTTCTAGGGACTTGGTTTCTCACTGCTGGCAAGCACTGCTTATCAAAGACAATACCAGTTTCTGGCAAAGGGTTTGAGTTGTTTCTTTTGGAATAAGGAAGAGGAGAAACTGGGACTCAGGTGAGAAGGAGAGTCTGAAATGGCATTCCTGTACTCAGTGGGCTTGGTCTCGGGTTGTGCACACAGTGAAAGATATGAGTGAGAGCAAAAAGCCTCTGGGGAAAGCAGCCACTAGGAAGGAGGAGGTAGTGCAACGCCTTAGGAGGAAGTGTGGAAATGGAAAATACATCTTCCACATTCAACAGCAGCAGTAGTTGGCTGATGGGTTTTCCCCACCAGACAGATCTCCTCCAAGTGATGTCTGAGGCCTTGGGATCTCGCATTTGCTGAGCAGAGGACGTAACTCTGCATTGACAATGTGTGGTGGAGTGACAGCTCATGCCAAGTGACATTTCTGCTTTCTCAAGGCTGAAATGCCTTTAGTATGTTCCTATCTCTTGACTCTGGTGTTCCTGTTATGCTTCTGTGTCACCCGGTGATGCCAGTTCGGAGAACCAGAGAGGGTGATCTGCAGAATGTGTGGGTTTTGGGTAGCAGTGAGGGAACACTTGTGTCCTCTTTAATTTGCAGATACATCAAGGTGGTGGAAAATGGGTGGAACGGATGAGGGCTGCTTGTGAGTGTATGTTTTCCTCTTACTGTAGGCTTCTGCCAGTACTTTCCAGACATCTGCTACTTTTCAAGGCCTAAAAGGCTGCACTGAGTTCCTGGGACTAATTTATGTTAGGTAGTCCTGTACCTGCAGTGCTCTGTTCTATTATCTTTTGTTCTGGGTGGTTGTTTTAAAGCAGTGCAAAATTGTATGGAAGAACGCTGCTATGTTTCTGGTGACCATGTGAGCTTCAAAGAGAACAAACCAACAGCCAGAAGAGCTGTCATGGGGTGAGAATCCACTTTGATTACATAGCATGAGCACTTACACGAAATCAAGACTCTCAGGCTGAAGGTGTCCTGTAGTGGTAGAAGTGAGTTCTGAACTGGGGAAAGCTGCCAAAGCAATAGGGATGTGATATAGTGGTGGATTTGGTAGCGTTAGATGATGGTTGAACTTGATGATTTTATAAATCCTTTCTGATCTAAATGATTCTATGATTCTGTAATGCTTTCTTATGCCAAGACAGAACCAAAACTGAACTCCTCATTCTGAAGATAAATAATACTTTGCACCTTTAGTACAAAGATCTCAGGACACTTTAATAAACCACAAATGAATCATCCTAATACTCCCTGTGTAAGGAGACTGAAATTATCTTCTTGTTTCATAGCAATTCAAATCATGAGATTAAATGACTTGTCTATTTCACTTTTCAGATCTGGGAACAGAATCTGTGAGATAAAAGTCCCAATACAGTCTTTTTACTGAGAGGGCTTGTAACTGCTTAGTCTTGTAATCGCTGATGTACTTCTTGCTTCTTTTCTTTGATACCTACTACTGAATGCAGGAACAGAAATAACACCCATCCAGTTCTGTAATGAAAGTGTCATCCGTGAGAGAGAGCAGGAGCAGGTTAGGACTCCTTCCCAGCTTTGGGTATGCATGTGAGCTCCAAAAGCAGTACTAGGTGCAAGCAGCAGACAGCTGGAGAGAGACTTCTGTGTTGTCATAAAGAGTGAGGATCCTGGGCAGACAGAACGTGGTCCTGCTGTGGGAAGAGCACAGGGAAGTCAGACAGTGTTTTAGCAGGCAGGGATTGCTGTTCTAACAAAGGGACAAGCAAGCTGCTGATGGATCTTGTGTTGCTTTGCAAAGGTACGGTGACCATGTGCTGAGCTGGGATGAATCGGCCGGACTTTGCTGCTCTGAGCAGTTGCGTGATGAGTGTAGTTGTGAACCTGTGCAACTTCACAGCTTCCCACCTGCATCACATCCAGCACTCAAGTGGTGCAGGTCAGCAAATTTCAGGGCCACGTGCAATGCTATCCCATTCATAAGTGGCAAAAAGCCACATATCTGCATATCCATCACTGCTTTGTAGTTCTTTGCTCTGCTAAGCATGCTAATGAGGAATAGTCATTACCCTTAAATGCCTGAAATCTACAAAGGAATGACAATTTTCTCTGGACCTATAATATATTTTGCTGCCTTGTGCTTGACTTCCCTTGTTGCCCTTCAGAACAGAGTCTGAACAGCTGGTTTCCCTGCTTTGGAGTACCCACTGGCTTGCTTCAGCCTGGAGCCAAGGTAAGTGTTGGCTCAGTAACAGTATGGAAAGAGTATAATGCATCTGTATGGACCCAGTTATTTTGTGCTGCCTACAAGAACTTAGGATCTGCAACAGTCCTGACAAGTCTGTGGAGTAGATTGGCATCTCTTTCAGAATGAGAAGGTCTTGGTTGCTTTAGCTCTGGAGAAGGTAGTTATGGCTGAAGGTATGTACCCTGCAGTGTCTGGCTCCAAGAAGGGCCAGAATGGTTGTCTTCAGCCTCAGTGCTTTGTTACATTGTATGAGGTGTGTGTGTATATACAGACATACACATCTGTATCTATGGTCTTCTGTTACCTTATCCTGAAAAATGTTTTCCAAATGCTTCCATTTGAAGCATTTCAGTCATGCTTCAAATGGTGACCCATTGTAGGAATGGGGAAGATGAAGAAAACAAGGGAGGACAAAACCAACAATTCCATTTAGTATGAGTTTTTGTCATGGTTTGTGACTTCACTGTCTTCAAGGTGAGGTGAGTGGCATTTTCCCTGTATGGTGCAACACTTTTATCCTGAGGGAAGAACTGAAGAAAACTCATGGAAAACTACCTTGGTAGTTTTTCTCTCTCATGAATAGGAAATTATTTATATGGGGACACAGAAGGATGAGAAAGACCTCTTTACAAATTTATCAAAACTGAAAGAGAATGCATTGGTGTATACTACCAACTTCATCCCCAGCTCTGTGCATCCCTGGGAGATATTCCTGTGACTTACTTGTTACCAAGAGGCAGTGGAGCTGCACAGAACTTGCCAACAATGTGTGACTCATCCTTCCTCCAAAACCGATTCTTGGGCAGGTATTTGAGCGTCACACTGTTTGTCTGGCAGAGGGGAGCCTTGTGGGCCAACAGCCGTCTGCCCACCTCTTCCTGCTTAGGTCTGCAATGGAAGGAAAGAGACATGAGGGGTGGCATTCAACCACTGTCTAGATGCAGACTGAAACACTGGAGGAGCCTAGAGCACTCATCCAAACCTCTTGGTTAAAAAAAAATGCAGTACAAAGATTCATCTGTCAAAACATGGGGCATTACAAGAGTCAGCAATTGAATGTATCTTTCTTAGCCCTCTGTTCACATTTCATCTCTGCAATCAGGAGTACTTCCACATAAAAATTACTGTCATGTGTCAGATGCTTTACGTAACTGCATAAATCATGGGAGGAGTAGGGACAGGTTCACAGAAAATAGAAGTGTTGGGAGCTAATAACAGCAACTCACCTTTAGCTCTGAATGTCCCTGAAATGTGTTTGCTAGAAATAGGGACATTACCTTCAGGAATCACTGCTGCATGCCTACACTGCTTATTTATGCTCTACTCAAGGTATTTACTTTAGGCCATGCTGAAGGTGAGATGCTTGGATAGATGAAGATGATTAAGCTCTTTACCACATAATGTGAACAAAGGAAAGCCAGAGCAGTGATTTCCAGAGCCAGGTGGCAGGCTGTATGCCCTGAAGTGATGCTGCCCAGCTGTTTTACTAGGTGGGCTGCCCCCTTCCATGGAGTCTGTCCTATAGGGCATCTTATGCCTGACCTACTAGGCACCTATTCCCTTGTATTGGTTAATAATGTGTGTAGTGGAGTCGGTGAAATCCAAAAGGCATTTGGTGACTGTCTGCTCAGAAATATGACAAAGGGAAGAGATGACAAAGGGATCAGGAAGAATCTACAATTCTGGTAACCAGAATAAGTTGAGCATCAGGCTGATGGCTGGACTCAATGTCCTCCCAGGCCAGAGCAGCCAATCCAAACCAGTGCATCCAGTTCTCTTCTTAGACTGCAGTGGTAGATGCTGGAGTTTTATGTGTATGGCTTGAAGCTGTCCAAAACGAGAAGCATCATTAAATTGTGGCTATAAAGGTGAAGGATGGATGATAGATGGAAAACAAACTGAGGAGAGACTGTCCCTTTACAGCATATTGTGCATGCATGGACAGTATCCAGCCATGCCGTAGGACAGAGGAGCACAATTAATTAGACTGAAGAAATTCACTACTGGCACTGACATTTTGTCAAAGCCTACGCTGCCTTTGGGTGCATGTAGGATTCTGGCTAACTTCAGAACTATGTTTTCTTGGGTGTGGGGGTGAGGCCGTGTTACATAACGTGGTACATAAGCAATACGAGTGCAGCAGGGAAATATGCCATGTAAAACTCTCCTTACTCTGTCAGCCCTGTGACAGCTGTCAGGCTTGAGGACTCGTCTCTTGGGGACACGGTGAGCAGCATGTGTAGGCTAATGGCGTCTGGACTTCTACCTGTGTGACCTATTGCATGGAATCTGCTTTAGGTGGGGTTTGGATTTGATGATCTCCTGAGGTCCTTCCAACTCCTGTGATTCTTAAGTGGGCACTTAAGTGAAGCACAGCTGCTGTCTTTCAGGGCAAGGGTGTCCCCGGATAGCTGTAACTCTACTGTCTCAATAAAACGGGAGGGTACAGTAAAGCCTTGGGATTGCCTGGCTGTCTCACTTCCCAGGCAGATTTCTCTCCAGGGCTCATATCTCCTGCTGCACACGTGACAAATGCTGTGTCTGACAGCTGCAAAAGGAAGTGCTGCATGTCTTCTTGAACAAATTGTGGGTCTCGACTTGACCTGGGTGTTGCTATTTCCTCCTTCCCGCACCTTTGGAGAAGACAGATCTGGCTTCTGAATTTTCAGGGCTGCTTGGATCTGCTTTTGCTTCACCGTGGAGTTGGACAGACGTGAGTTCCATCAGGTTGGAATATGAACTCTAAATTGCAGTGTTAGTCTGAAAATCCATAATCAAGCCAGCCCCCCCACCCCGCATGGGCCTTCCATTCTTCAGTTCTCACCTCTCTCTCCTAATGCACAGGATCACATCAACAGAGTTAGGTTTGGCTTCATAAGGGCTATGTTGAAGCCAATTCTCGATCCTCTCTGAACTTAAGAGAGCTGGCTGAGGTCTTTAGCAGACTGCTTTCCAGCTTTCTGACACTGCATATCTATGTGGTGGTTACCAGCCCCTGGCAGTGGACAGGAAGTTGTGAGGAAGACTTCCTTCTGGGGAACTTGTCTGTGGTGGAGAGATCCCCTTGAGGCAGAGGCTGGAAGCTCTGAGCCTGGTCTTTTAATTCAGTTACGGTTTGGAAGAGAGTGGTGGTGGCAAGAGAGAATTGACTGTCTACAGATCATAAAATCTTTAAGGTTGGAAAAGATCACTAAGATCATGTAGTTCAATCATCAACCCACCGCCACCATGCATACTAAATCAGGTAGTCTTGGTCTATTACCCAATGGATTTCTCCCCTACAGTGGGGGCTATGGCACATTTTGGTGTTAATGCAGAGACAGAAGTGTACTTCTGAACATATATCTGACTGTGCAGGGATGTATTTGTTTTCTTTCTGCAACTGCTGTCCTAATGAGCATCAACAGAAATGTTTGAGGTAAGTCCATCAGTCTAGAACCTCCAGTGAATTGGGTGCTGCTGTAGCCAGCTCTGTCTGGCATGGTAGGATTAATAACTATCTGAGGGTGATTTAAATCAGCACCAGGCATATGGGTATGGTGTAAAAAAGGAATCATTGTAACAGTACAAAGGGGATCCCAGAGTACACTTCTTGGTTTGTGTACTTGTGGACTTCATCAGAGTTACCAAGTAGTGGTAGTACATACCTGATTCTTGAAAGCATTTAAGGTAAACGTGTAGGAACTTAAGAAAGACTGTGGTTCATCACACAGTGGCTGCACTCAGGGAGATGTTCCATCCTTATGCCTTTCCTGGTCTGGGAAAAACATGCTTATACATGGAATTGGGAAAAAGCAAGCCAGAAGTATGCACTGTAACTCACATGGTGATCTTCGTCGTGTCCTTGGTGCTGTTGCTGAAGAAAGTGATTTCAATGCTGGTGATTACATTTCTTTTCTTCTGCAAGCGGAACTCAATGAGGCTGTGGTGAACTGAGCAAGAGGGAAAGTATGTGGGAGTGAGGGCAGGTGCTGTGTGTTAGACCTACCCTACCAAAAGGAGTAATTTCTAGCACTCACTGCCTGG